TCCTAGGCCCAATAATTTTTCTTTTATTTATTAATGACGTTGGAGCCTGCTTTAAGCATTCCAAGTTTTTGCTATACGCTGATGACCTAAAAATCTTCAGAAGTGTCACTTCTTTGTCAGATGTTTTGCTATTACAAAATGATCTTAACAACTTAACTACTTGGAGCATCAGAAATAACTTACCGCTTAATATTAAAAAATGTCTCCATATGACTCTTTCAAAGAGCATAATTACGCATAAGTCGGCTTATTATCTGTTTGATAAAAGACTTTCTTCAGTTAAGGAATTTTTAGACCTAGGAGTGATGTTTGATTCGGGATTTACCTTCATTAACCACATTAGCTATATCGTTCCTAAAGCCTACTCTAATCTTGCTTTTTTGCGGCGCTATGGTAGAGATTTCAAAGATCCCTACACCCGAAAAATTCTCTATAACTCGCTGGTTCGTTCGAAGCTTGAATACGCCTCTTTAATCTGGAGTCCAATTTACTCAACTCATTCCTCTAGACTTGAAAGAGTGCAACGAAGCTTTATTCGCTTCGCTCTTGAACCACTCCATTTTAGTGATCCCCTACCATCTTATACGGCCCGCTGTGCGCTTATAAATCTGAAATCACTTGAGTCTAGGCGATCTATTCAATCTCTGCTTTTCATATACGATGTTATTAATGGCATAGTAGACTGTCCAGAGCTTCTTCTGCAAATAAATTTCAATGTACCATATAGAAATTTACGCACTCATTACCCGTTTAATATTAAAGTTAATAAAGCTAATTATTACAATTATGACCCCATTTCCAGAGCTCTCATTGAATTTAATAGAATTTCCAAGAGCCTTGATCTGGACTTCGCCTTCCCGAGATCTCGTTTTGGTTTATTACTAGAATCAATGTATTCCTAATTATATACTTTAAATATCGAATTTACACTTAAGTCGTAAGCTTGTACATCTAGTCTGTAAGATTTGTAAATCATAGACTTAATAAATGAAATGAAATGAAATGAAATGAAATGAAAACGAACGTCAACTCCTCTAGCATGAACTACTCGCACGTACCCTACTGCAGCAAATGCGACTTGACTGGCATCGACGAAAGTGTGGATTTCTACTTTGCCACCGTATAAGATTCGCGGCGAATAACAGCGGGGTATCTTCAACTGCTTCACGTTAGGAAACTCTTGCCACCAGGGCCACCATCTCTTGCTTAGTTCTTGAGGCAGAACTTCGTCCCATCCAATCTCGCACTTCCACGCTTCTTGAATGAGAATTTTAGTAGTAATTAAAAATGCTGCTAACATACCAAATGGATCGAACACCGACATCACGATTCGTAACAACTCTCGCTTTGTCGGAGCTCGCGTTCCGTGCAGGACATCTTTCGGCAAACGGTGGAACTTCGTGTGGAATTCGAAAACGTCATCGCTAGTGTTCCAGAAGAGGCCAAGCACTTTGTCCACTGACTCGTTGCGTTCCAGACTAACCACTTCTCCCGCGGATAATGACGAATGATTCAAACGATCTTCTACTTCTTCGCAGTTGGAGACGAAGTTACGTAACTCGAACCCTGCTTGTGAATTGATGCTGACAATGTCGCTGCAGATACTGATGGCTTGTTCAGGCGTGTCGAAGCTTGCAACTAAATCATCGACATAATGCTTGTTAATTATAGTCGTTGCGGCGTCTGGAAACTGTGCCCGATACTCCTCGGCGTTTTTATTTTTTATATATTCGGCGATGCAGGGTGAGCAAACAGCACCGAAAATTAGCGACGTCATCACATACTCTGCCACAGGCTTGCTCGCATCACCATCACGCCACAAGTACCGTTGAGCGTGCTGATCAGCTGCGCGTATCTTGATCCGCGAAAACATTTCGCGTATGTCTGCTGACACTGCAACACGTCCTTGGCGAAATTGTAGCAAAATCCGTATCAACGGCTGTGCTTGCTCCGGACCCTTCATTAGTTGCGAGTTGAGTGACACGTTGCTTACTGCGGCTGCGGCATCAAAGACGAGTCGCGTCTTTTCGGGCTGATGTCGATTGAATACAGCGAAGTGAGGTAAGTACCAAGCATTTTGATGTGGCTCTCCGGCTTCGTCACGGCTTAACTTTCTGGCATACCCTTTGCTCACGTACTTAGCCATTTCCTGTCGGTATCGTTCTTCGTTTGGCGCTCCACTGCCAGTAAGCATTTCTCGGCCATTGTTTTGCTGTTTGGCAACTTCGGTGGATATGTTCTCCACAGTAAACCGGTTTCATATTGCTTACCTACTCGTCTTGTTGTTCGGCGCAATATCTCACGTGCTCGCTGGTCTTCATCTGACTCCAATGGCACTGCTGGCGGGTTGACTCTAAAGCTGTCTGCTGTGAAGTACTCGTGTACTAAGTCGTGCAGTTGCTGATATTCTTTCACCAACAAAACACGGGGGTTCAAGGTTGTAGGTAGCTTGGTTGGGCCGTACGCGACCCAGCCTAGTGGCGTTTTTACAGCTAGCGGGCTGTCGATGTCGGCTTGCACTTTTTCTGAGGTCGCACCCAGGTATGCGTGCTTTAGCCCGATGAGCAAAGCTGGTTTCGCACGACAGTAGTTTTTTATCGGCAAATCTCTCAAATGCTGAAAATTTTCCTTGGCCATAGATTGCTTAGGCAGGTTCAGGTTCTTCACCGTATATACCTCCTTCAGTAGAAACTTCCTCTTCGTTGCGCAGTTCTCAACTTCGATGCTGATTTTATGCGATTGTTCCGTAACAACGTTGTTGTCATACCACTGCAGCGTAAGTGGATGCAAGCCACCCTGGGCTCCGATCATCTTGGCCACTTCCTCTTCCATTATTGAAATTGACGAACCCTCGTCGAACATCGCTAATATCTCACGCTTACCTTTCGGTCCATATATGTTGACTGGCAATATTTTAAACAGTTGACCATGTGCGCTTTGTGTTACTTGACAATTCAGTACTGGCTGCGCAATGACGTCCTCTGGTGTAGTTCGGCGTAGCATCTGCATTGTTGCATCTTCGTTGTGGAGTAGCTGGTTGCGATAGCGCTGGCAGCCACTTATGTTACACCTCCTTCTTGAACGACACTTTTGCGTGGAATGCCCCTTGCGTAGGCACGAAAAGCAAAGCTGTTGCGCCTTAACCAGGTCCCACCGCTCTTGAATACTGCTTGCCTTAAACGATTCACACTGTGCAAGCATGTGGTTACCACTACACTGATAGCAAGCAAGTGAGTCCCTTGGCCGCTCAATATGCATCAGCCGACGATGATTGCCCGACGATGCAGTCTGCCGGCCACCCTGTGTGTTGTTTGTCGGCATAAGACAAATTATTCTAGCCAACTCGCTAAGCCACTCAGAAAAATGTTCAACTGATGGATACGGTTGTATAGTCGCAGCATGCTTCGCCCAGTCGAACTGTCGGGTATGCGGTAACTTACCCACCATTTGCTCTAACAATGTTACGTTAGCTAAGTGCTGCTGGCAATTTGCAGACTTCAGAAATGCAACAACATTTCTCACTCTTGAGGAAAACGGTACAATCTGCTCCGGCTTATTATCGGCTATTGGCGGGAAATTCTGCAGTTTGCTGATTTGGAATTTAACCAAAATGTCGGGTCGCCCGAACCTGAACTCCAACTCGCTTATGACGTTCGGCACGTTGCTCGGGTAAATTAGCATGGCGGCGACAGCTTCTTTGGCGGGACCAACTAAGCACTTCTGCAACCTCATAAGGTTTTGGCGGTGGCTGTATCCAAAGTTTTCCGTGGTGTCGTTGAAATTCGCGAAAAATAGCGGCCAGTCTTCGACATTGCCGCTGAACACAGGCAAATCGTAAAGTTTTATTTGCGAGTCGGTCGGTGATATGACGGCTTGAGTATTGTCACGCTGTGCTGGCTGCACGCTCTGTTCTGGAACATTCTGTGGTTGCATGCCTTCGCGAAGCCTAATGATGTCTCTTTGACTCTCCGCAGTGCTTTGTCTAAGCTCTTCTACGGAAGCCCTTAACGCATTCAATGTGGCAATTATAGCATTCGCGGTGTCTTCTGCGGCTGCACCTGGCTGACCCTCCATGCTTTCAAACGATGACTCTGATTCACTCCCTTGATTACTCCTCGTAACACCAGCCCGATTCCGCAAGAAATATCTGTTGGTTTCAGACATACAAAATGGCCTCCGGTACCAAATTTATTCGTTTTCACCGACAGCGCACAAGTGTAAAAGTTGTTGAAGTGTAAGAACTGCTTCTGCTTACCGACAAAGGATATAAAACGAATAAAGTAAAGACATTTGCGTTGTATAAAAATGTATTATTAAGGTTTCGACTTGACAAACACGTATGCGCGTAACTTGTACATTTAAAACATATAAAATACGAAGGATTAAACGGCAGTCGGCAAGTTGTTAAGAAATCGTAGGCTGAACGTTGTAGGTTGAAGTTTAAGCGTGAAGCGTGGAGCGTTTTACACTTGTGTTCTGTTCGCGCGCTGTCTGGAGTCCTTCTCTCATGTAATGGCCGACGAGAAAAACATATCAAAGTTGGTTGCAGTTCTTATTCGCGGTGTTGCCACTTTTAGCAACTACCAGGGTGGCTCCGCCTACGCAGAAAGGTGTTCTCTGCAAAAGGTGTTCAGCTCCTTTTCTTCGCAAAACAGAAAGGAGAATTCTACTGCCTGAGGGTTATAATCCCTAAGGGCCGTTTGCACCATGTCTAGTTAATTCTAACTCCCAGTTAAACATCTTTGTCGACGTTATCGACACCCATCATATAACATGTGATCGATAAAGCAGTTAACGTGCTTAACTGAAGGATGTACCTCCAGTTAGCGTTAACTAGACATGGTGCAAACGGCCCTTAGTGCGGCCGAAGGCCGCCTACGTAGAAAGGTGCTCTCTGCAAAAGGTGTTCAGCTCCTTTTCTTCGCAAAACAAAGCAAGGAGAATTCTACTGCCTGAGGGTTATAATCCCTAAGTGCGGCCGAAGGCCGCCTACGCAGAAAGGTGTTCTCTGCAAACGGTGTTCAGCTCCTTTTCTTCACAAAACACAAAGGAGAATTCTACTATTCTACCTATTCTACCCCCCCTCATCCCCCTTTTTTCTAGAATTTGCCGTCCGTCTACTAAAATTTTCCCAACACACTTTTTAAATGTTTTCTTCCATTGCTTTCTTTGCTTATATGGATTACTATCATTCAATTTTGTCCATCACTTAAAATAAACTGAAATTGCGTGTAGTCTGTTGCATATCATAAACCAAATAAGTTAAAGTTTAATGGACTTATTCATAAAAAATAAAGTAGGTTTAAAGAGCTTAATAAAACGACATTTTTCAGTTTACAAACCTTTTTTATTTTTTATGAATAAGGCCATAAAACTTTACGCAAAGTTCACGAAAATGCAGAATTTTTAGAAAATTTTTGGGTATGCAGTTTTGTAACCTATTCAAATTTACGTGTAGCCTACTACCGTTGACTTTTAATTTAAACTTGCACATTATTGTACTAAAATTTAATAGGCTACAAAAATGCATACCCAAAAATTTAAAAATATTTCTTAATAAAACTTGAAATTCGTGAAGGTACCCAGCCAGCAGAGAAACGTACTTTTTGCCGAAATTGCAGTTTTCGAACATTTTTCGTATCCGGAAATATTCAGAAAACGATTTTCATATTTGTTCGTTTTTCGTATCCGAAAAATGTCATCATCTTATTTCAAAACAATAATTTTAAAATATTTGTTCAAACTGAGCATTTGAAAACATATACGTATTCACCAGTAGCTGAGTGTGCAGTGAAGTGTGGTACTATTTGTTAGCTTTCAGGGGGTCCCAGGTTCGAATTCCGTCAGGAGCAACACATTAAAATTATTTATTCAAATTGAAATAATTGCTGAATCTTAAAATTATTTTTTGTTTGGTTTCCTGCAACAATGAAAAAGTTTCTGTGAAGTTCATAATGAAATCAAGTGAAGTTCATAATGATTTCAACGAAAGATATAATCAGACAAATTTCATGAAAATAGCCGAAAGCGCATCCGTCTTACAACCATTTTTGATAGTTTTCTGCACATACGTTTCGGATGAATACTTTAGTGGGAGAATTGATCTGAAAAACGTCCGAAAATTTAATCGGAAAACGGATGAAACATCAGGTTTACATACGAAATTCTTTCCATTTTCGGATACGTTTCCGGATATATATATATATATTTGTATGTATGTATGTACATTTAACATTAAAATTACTTCCAACGTGAAAGTAAGTTCTGCAATGAAATAAAAATCAAATATTTTAAATTTATATTGTTTTAATTTCAGGAAATAACTAGATATACTATTGAAGAATAAAATAATTTTAGTATCCTAAAAAACGTATTTTAATGAGTCCGATACTGAGTAGTATCGATACTTTTTCCCTGATACTTAGAGTGTCGATACCATGAGCTCGAAGCCAGAATGAGTACTCAGTATCGATACCAAAGTCTGAAATTTCGAACCCTAGTCACAGTAGGTTCTTTCCCTAACAATCCGGACCGGATCCGGTAATTAGAGAATAATCGAAAAGTTTGCTCTCAAAAATGGAACATACAGCCCTATTCCGCCACACTGACAAAACTCACCGCGATGACAATTGATATAAAAATGACAATTGCAGCTTTTTGGTATTCGCAGCAAAATTCCAAAGCTCGAATCATGCCAATTGTCATTTTTATTGTCATGATCTTTTGGGTAGGTGACAAGGCAAAAACATATGTTTGTGTTGGTTTAAAAAGTGCGACGATTTAATAAATTTGTGAAAAAAATATAAACATCAACAATTTCAATGGCAGAACAAATTTTAGTTATTTGCGCAGCCGTGCTTGTGGAAGACCATGATGCAATAATACAAGGTGGTAGGTCAATTGTGACAGCTCAATTTGACACTGCCTTAGCTCAGTAGAACGAGAAGAAAAACGGGAAGAATTAAGCCCCATTTGGGGAAAAAATATAAAATTTCACATTTTTTCCTAAACAAAATTTCCTTTTTTATAGTATATTCGTGATGAAATGAAATAAAATAAGATAAAATACCTTTTTAAGAAAAACAATGTGTATACTGAGAAAAAATAAAAAAATATTCAACTATATTATTAGGCAAAGAATTGTTAAAGAAATAACACTTTCTCACCTAAGGCAGTCAATATGGCGGAATTAGAGAGAGAAGTTGCCAACTGATAACACTTGTATTATTGCATCATGGTGGAAGACGAGCAGCTCCGGATGCTCCCTACAGCCTCGTCCGCTCATATTTTGCACGTCTAAAATGTTTATAAATGTCATAAATATACGAATTTATCTATTTTACACAAATACTCACTTTTCTGGTGTTTCACCGCTCATATTGTTTGCAAATAATAGCGTTGACCAGCTGTTTCTACAACAATGAACTTTTCACCATGCATGGTAAGTTGACAAAAGCTTTTCGCTTGTCATTTTTTGTTAGGAATAGCAACGTGCAACGACAATGACAAACTNATATAAACTACTTAGTTTTCAACAAAAACCTTATTCAATAGTAAATTTCAAATATTTTAAACATATTTTGAATAGGAACTTATAACTTTTTTACCATCTGTAAAACTGACGAAGTGGCAACCATCTAAAGAAGTAGAAATCAGCTGACACGGAAAAATCTAAATTCCGCAGATTTCTGCGCTACGTGCTACAACTACAGAAAAATTCTGCGGTGTTGAGTTTTCATTTACATGGCGCTTTGGTAAGACAGATCGTGCCAGCTGACTCGGGTTTACGTACCGGTAGGTTTACGTTCTTGACTAATTTCAGCTAAAGTCGTTCCCGTACGCCAAAACTTCTGTATCTGGGAACACTCTCGTGAGAGTAACTGAGCAACTGTTCCCAGAATGAAGTTTCAAGATTTAGTCCGGAGTTTTTCTTCTAGCAAATTCATGAAAAGTGTCAAACGATAGGTAGAGTTTCATTTGTGTACAAAAACAGAACGCCGTGAAAGCAAATAACCTTACATTTGTTAAAAAATGGAAGTAAATAACGAAATATTCGAATATATATGCAATTATTATTAATTATATAGATTTTAATAGTTATTTAGTGATCTTTCAGCCAAATCAGTCTTGTACTAATGACAAGTAAACAAACCAAATGACGTTTTTGCAGGAAAAAGTGCTTTTTGCGTTCCCGTACACTTCTGCATCTGTTCTCCTGTTACTCTCACTAGAGAGAGTAAAATTGTAGTTTGACATTTCCACAGGTTTTAGTCCGAAAAGTTCTGGGAACAGTAGCTCAGTTACTCTCACGAGAGTGTTCCCAGATACAGAATTTTTGGCGTACGGGAACGACTTTGGACTAAAACTTGCAAAACCTGCAAATCGTAGACGTTCTGGAACGCTCTAAAGGTGTTGTCAGTAACTTAACCTCACTTTTTCGGTACGCATATTCCGGCAACGCATTTTAAGGTAGTAGAAAATAGGGAAAAATTTTGGCCGGTTTTACTCCGTTTTTCGTACTATTTTTACAATAATATGGAAGTTTAAAGTATTTTTGTTCCTTTATTAATTTCGAGAACTAACTCAATGCTGACTTTATTGGAGATTCTTGATTCTTACAAGGAAAAAATAAAATCCATTAGAATTTTCCGCGAGACGAGCAAATTAAATAAAAGCTTGAAAAAGGAATTCAGCTAAACGAAATAAAAATGTTCCATCGTTTTGAGTAGATCTAATTAAAAGTAATATTTTATAAGTAAAGGTTCTAAATGTTGTTGGTAACACGCACCTCAGTTATTTCAGGATTCATTTAAATCCTGAATGCGGACATGCATTCCGGCAATTGCGAGGTGGACGATGACCGCAACATTTTCTCCATAAAATTTGCACCGGTCAAAGTTACTAACTTGGTCAAACTTGGAGGTAGAAAAGCGGTTGACCGTGCAACAAAAACACTGAAAAATAAGATATTAGATTTTCCTTACTTGCAAATAAAAGTTATGTATACCTGGCTGGATAAGGTACCAAAAACAAAGTTAAATGTGGTGGGTTTTATGCAAATGCACTGGGCACTA